GCTGCCTTTCTTTGTCTGCTTCTATGTACTAAGCAAAGCTCCTAAGTCTCCCGATTTTATTAGTGCGGCTTTGTATAGTAGGTGTCCAGTGGCACAGTCCTGAGAGGGGTTCAGCTGCAGGCCAAGTTTAGCCCCAGCCTGTGCCCCTCTGGGGCCTCCTGGTAAGATTCAGCAAGCAATCCACAGATGCTGTGCTTGTAGTTGCCTCAAGAGATCACGCCAGAAACTGAGGCCAGGTGCCACTGGTGTGGGGCTTGGGCTTGGAGCTGCTTAGCAAGGGGCACAGGACACGCTGAGGACACCACTGGATGTGGTTTGAGTAGGGCTACCTGTTTGGAGAGGCAGAGTTTCATGGAATCCTCTGGGTGGCATGACCTCTGTTATCCAGTTCCATGACATCTCAACAGTGGTGGTGCTGAGTCCAATTGCTGGGAGTAGGGAGGGCTCAACAGAGGAACAATGGATACTGCTAGCACTTCTGCCCTGGAGAAAGCCCTGCCTCTGGTCCTCACTCCGACAACTCAGTGTTGCCTTGTAAGTCCCTGGCGTCCCCCTGAGCAGCCAACCTCACGCTGGTGCTCGGAGAGAGCGAGTCCATCACTGCGAAAGTCCAGTCGCAGTTGCAGCCCCTTTAAGAGGAACGTCTTCACCTGCTGGCTGCAGCTGCCATAGTCTGTGTCTCACATCTCTGCCCAATCCTATCTCCTACCATTGCAGGGTGATTTCTTATTTCTCTCCGTAATTGAAGGGCTTCTGTTCATACAGACCCTGGGCGACTCTGCTTGTTCTTTGCTCCATGTTTCTGTTACAACTCTGGTGTAGTCACAAGAAGAAATGTACAAAGCCTTCACCATCTACGCCATCTTGCCCAGCCCTTGAGTCTTTATTTTAACCTCTTTTTTAGATTGCATAAATTCTGTTGAACTATCTTTGAGTTCATTGACTCTTTATTATCTGTCACTTTGCATTTTGTGAACAGTTGATTTATGAGATTCCTGATTCAAGAGTAGTTCCTATTCCTTTGTAAGTATAGTGAGTATGGCTTCTTTATTAGAAGGCTTTTTTGGGGGAAATGGTTGTCTGTCCTTTGACTTTTAAATTTTCTCTTGTATTATAGGATCCTAAATTTCCCCTCTTTTACCCTTCTCAGAACAGTTTCAAAGGACATCTCATTCCTTTTCAATGTCTTCTCCCCAGAAACATTGAGTTCTGCATACACTCATCTCTTCTTTTTCCTAGACTGCTCTGGTATACTAGAGCTCTTTCTCACTATTTTTGTACTTAGTGTGGGTTTTCTTTTTCCTGGAGTGATTTTAGTTCCACTTAAGCTCTTCACCCTCCTCTTCTCTCATATGCATTTCACTTCCTGTCTGGGTCCTATCTTGCTCTCCTTAAAGAGCTGGGATGAGTGTTTGAGAAATATCTCCACCAGAAATTGATGTTTACTTTTTCAGATTCTAGACAACTTGAAGCTTGTAGTATTTTCAATCTTCTAATTATGTTAGGAGATATGGGTTATTTGTGGTTTCATTTGTTCTTGTTGGTTTTTGTAGGATGTATTAGGACATTTGGATTTATGTAGCTGCCATAACCCTGCTATTAGGAAGTCTTCCTTAACATTTTGTTTAGAAAAATTTGAAGCCTTTAGGAAAGTTATAAAATGAAAACCTGTATACCTTTCACCTAGATTCATAATTTGTTACTTTATTTTATTTTTTCCTTTCCCTTTCTTTGCATGTGCACACATGCACTTATACTTTATTAGTTGAACGATTTGAGAGTAAATTGCAGAAAACATGCCAATTTACTCTAATACTTTATCACATCTCCTAACAAAAAGATCATTTTCCTATGTAACTATGATATAATTATCACACTCAATATGTTTAACAGTGATAAAATACCACCATCTAATATGCCACCATCAGATTTCCCCCATTGTCCCAATAATATCCTTTATAGCTTTTCTTTCCTGATCTAAAGTCCTATCAAGGACCACACAGTGCATTTTAGTTGTCATGTCTCTTTAATTTTCTTTAGAAGAGTTTGCTAGCCTTTTTGTTTTACTTTGTTTTGTTTTTTGAGACATTGACATTTTTGAAGAGTCTAGGCCTTGTAGATTTGAACTTGTCTGATCATTTCCTCATGATTAGAGTCATGATTAGACTGGTAGAAATGCTACCTAAGTAATGTTGCGACCTTCTTGGTACATCCATCAGGAAGCACATGGTATGACTATTATTGGTGACATGTTTGATTACTTGATTAAGGGGTTATCTGCCAGATTTCTCCATTTTAAGGATATCTTTTGCCCCCCTCCCACCCCACAGTTTTTCTCCAAGTGCAAGTAGTGGAATATTTTATGCAGCATAAATATTCCACTTTTTTAAAAAACAAATATGCACATACATACACATAAAACACATATACACAAACACAATCACATTAAAAAAAAAGTTATCTCTTGCTGAGGAGGATCCAGCTAAATTTTACTTTAGCCCTTATTTTTTGACATGTTAAAGCTTTCTACAATAAAGACATTTTAATTATATGATAGAAAAATAGTTATGAACAGTTTTAGAAAAGAAGGCAGAGCAGTGAGCATTTTTTTTTCCAAGTAGAAACTGGCAAAAAAATTATTCCATGTTTTATGGGCAGAGACAAGGATTGTCTTATTAAAAGATAGAATCTTTTAAGACATTTAGAAAAGTAGCAACAAGTTGCTTTTTAAATGTGAGAGGTATAACTCTTGCCTTATAAAATTAGTTTCTAAAGAATTAAAAAATATATGTTGTCTCTCTATATATGTATTATGTATTCATTCACCTACCTATTTATTCATTTAATTACTAACCAAACACTTCATTCCTGACCCCTACTGAAAGGTACTGTGCTAGTCACTGGGAGTGCCAAGATGAATCAGGAGGAATCTTCCACCTGCTAGGAGCTCACATTGGAGTGGGGGAAAATGGATGTGGCAGAGAGTACTCACCAGATATTCAAATGGTTTCTTACATTTTCCAGTCTCCATTGCAATTAAGTTGGGACTGTGGGACAAGTTCTGTCCAGTGAACTTGACGAGAAGTGATACACATCACTTCTGGGCTAAGGCAGCTATGACTCTCAGTTTTCTCTACTGCTGCCAAGATGACCTTAGAGTTACATGTGTAGATGGCACAGCTACAAGATGGACAAGGCCACCAGACTACAGTAGATCTTGCATGAATGAGACATAAACCTTTACTGTGTTAAGCTATCCTTCCTTTTTTTTTATAGTGATAAAATATACATAACATAAAATTTAACCATTTTTAAGCATGCAATTCAGTGGCATTAAGTACATTCACAATGTATACCCCTGTGTTTTTAACAAATAATCAGACAGGAACTCATTTGAGTCTTTGCGAATATCCTGGTTCTCAACAACTTTTAGTATCCAATGAGGAGTCTAGCTGGATGCTGCTATTATAACATCATTTTAATATGATAAAATTTATGAGATTGATCTTATTCTCTTTTACAAATGAGGAAATTGAGTAACAGGTTAATTGCTCAATTTAAGTAACTTATCTGATGGAGCTGGATATTGAACCACATTTAACTATAACCTTCAAAGTGTGCTTTATAGCAGGGGTTGGCACACTATGGCCTGTGGGCCAAATCTGCCACCTCTTTTTGTAATAAAGTTTTATTGGAACACAACCATGCCCATTCGTTACATATTGCTTATGGCCTCTTTCATGCTAAAGTCTCAAAGTTGAGTAGTTGTGACAGAAACCATATAGTCTGTAATACTTAACATATTTACTCTTTGGACCTTTACAGAAAAAGTTTGCTGACTCCTGCTTTATAGAATAGGTATTTACATTTTTTATTTTTATTAAAATACACATATTTGGAAATGAAATAGCGCCAAAAGCTTTATTTTAGAAAAAGAATTTTTTCTCTTCATCCCAGTACCAATCCTCAGAGACAGACATGTCATTCTTTTAACTATCTTTTCTGGCATTTACGGTTACATTCTAAATATCCTCATTCTGTTATTTCATGATTTATCGACTTTAGATCCTAATTATCAACTAACCTAGGTTAGGCCACTATCCTACTTTTTAGTGTTCTATTATAAATTTGTCATTCTTAGCTGAAATGTAATATTTTATGATCATTTAATTTTCTGCATTTTCATCATAATGTACATAAGAAAATTAACATAAACTTAGTAGTAATTAACATTTATTTAGTACTCATATGTGCCAGGCACTATTCTAATGCAGATTTATGCAGTAAATAAAGATTAAATGAATCTTTATAGAACTCCCGGGAAATGTAGGTTCTATTATTATCTGTATTTTCTACATGAGAAAACATTATTTAGAGAGATTATGTGATTTTCTCCTTGATCGAGCACCTAGTGGGTGATAGAGCCAGACACTGATATTTAGAACTTGAGGTCTTAAACATTATATTGTAATACTATGCGGAGAATCATACTTCTTGACATTCATAGATTTGTAGTTCTATTAGCAATAATCTGAGATTTATATATGTAAGCTTGAATCTGATTTGGGACAGGTGTAGGAGTAGTCAGGTACTGGGGTCAGCTAGTTGCAAGTGCTTGTTCGGAGGGTAATTGTATTTTCTTATAGACTATAAATTTGCATAGTCTCAGTCTAATGCAGAGGTTCCCAACCCTTGTGCCATGGACCACTACTGGTCCATGGCCTGTTAGGAACCAGGCTGTACAGCAGGAGATGAGCAGTGGGCGAGCAAGCGCAGCTTCATTTGTATTTGCAGCCACTCCCCAGCACTAGCAATACTGCCACGCTCCACCTCAGATCATTAGCTCCACCTCAGGCATTGATTTCTCATAGGAGCACAGTCCCTGGTGCCAAAAAGGATGGGAACTGCCAGTCTAAGGCACTGGCTCTCAAACTTGAGCTTGCATCAAAAACATCTGGTGGGCATTAATTCCTGGGCCTCACCTCTATTTCCTGATTCAGTAGGTCCGCGATGGCACCCAGAATTTGCATTTCTAACAAGTTCCCGGTGATGCTGATGGTACAAGGGACCAAACTGGGCTAATGCTCTATTATTCCTGCATGTTAGGTATCTTCTGTATTGCTTTCTTTTGCTCTTTTATTGTTTCATGTATTTTAGTCTTCTACCAGCTAGCTTGTTAGATTCTGGCAAATGTTCAGTTACTGTGGCTTACATTTCTTTGTTGACCCCACAGAGGCCAGGGTCATGTTGCACATATAGTAGGTAATAAGTTGAATGTTTGCTCTCCTTAAAATGTTTTTGTAATTTTGACTTTTTCATTTATAAATATTCTCATTGTGAAAATCACCTGTAATAGCAGAAAAGTGGAAGCAGCCCCTAAAAGATTTTCAGGGGCTATGAGACTAAGCACCGAGGAGCTCAGTCCTTGATTGGGGCAGTGTTTAGAAGTATATAAATAAAGTGACTTGTAGGATATTGCATATGGATGCTCTATCTGATTTTTAGTATAGGCTCTGGCATTTTGACTTTAGCATTCTTTGAGAATTTTTCTTTAATCTTCTGTTTATATAGAGGTCAACCAGAATCAACATGTCTGGGACTGAGGAAGCATTTTTTGGAGGCCGTGACAGCCATCCTCCTTCTGCTGGTGGCAACTCTGTATTATGCTTTGGACAGGTAACTGTGTGGGTTTTTCACACCTGAAAAGAATGAGGTTAAGTGAAAAAGGTATGAGGAAGCAGTTTGTAGAGCATCATTATATACACATGTATAAGTTATTTATTGTTATTGATTTTTTTTAGATGCCTTATTTGGGAGTCTTTGAAGGGCATTTTGGAACTTTAGCATCAAAAGACATAGTACTAGGGATTACATTTAGCTTTACATATTATTTATTTTTTGGGTAGATTGCATGTTAATATGACATAGCATTCAAAAAGAAACAAAAACTACATGTGAACAGTCTCACTATTTCCCTGTTACTCCTGCCCGCTTTACACCCAGTTCTCTTTTTCGGAAGCATCCAAAGTTTCTGGTGTTGTATTCTTTGTGCATATAAAAGGGATTCTTGCTTTGTCCACCTAAATTCTGTCTTTGTCTTTACCAGAGATCTGTTTGTGACTATTTCATTTAATTGGGGTAAGAGGAAAACTACTAAGAGGACAAAAATCCAAACATGTAGTAGTATATTTACTGTGTAGGATTGGAAATTGTTCAGTTGGAAAGGAGGTACGCAAGTTTGGCGGAAGACTCCTGTCATGTTTTCTCTCCCCTACTCCCTTGAGTGTGTAAATGTCATAGGCAGACTTGGAGGTGGGAAGTTTTAGTTTCCTCGTTCTGGCTTGAGAAAGTTTTGTAAGGTTGGTAGTAACATCTAAGGCAGTGGTTCCCAAAATGTGGTCCAGTGACCTCTGGGAATTTACGAGAACTTTTCAGAGTCCATGAGGTCCAAATTTTTATAATAACTAAAATACTACTTGCTTTTTTCACTGTCATTCTCTCACAAGTGAATGGTGGAGTTTTGTGGAGACTGCATAGCACGTGGTGATATCGTTGCTCTGATGGCTTGTGGAATATGTGCCTTAAAAGTTTCTCAGTTTTAATACCTAATATTGGTAGATATAACCCATAGAAACAAAACCTCTTATATCCTCAATACCTTTTTAAGAGTGAAAAAGGGTGTGGAGACCAAAAAGTTGGAGACTTGCTGATACAAAGAATGGTGGAAATATCAATTAAATTTTCTCTTTCTGGATTGTAGTACCAATACGCTGCAGAAGAGTACCAGGCCATCCAGAATGCTTTGAGGCAGAGGCTGGGTCCTGAATACATAAGTAGTCGCATGGCTGGAGGAGGCCAGAAGGTAGGAGAGTCTATATACCTGAACAGTGGGTGCCCATGTAGCTGACTTCTCAGATGATATTGCCAGCTACCTTTCTGTTTCCTCATGGATTCAGAAGGTCTCTTGTTCACTGTTACTGGTTGTTTCCTAGTGTCTTTGGGAGCAGATGGATTCCAGCCTTCATTGTCATCTGAAGTGACCCAAGCGTTGGTTGTCTTGAGATTTATATACCTGCCATCATAGGATTTTTACACAATCTTTAAAAAATATGTCTCTTGCCATTTGCTTCTAATTTTAACTTTAGTGTCTGTTTTTAGTCTTCTATAATATATGTCAACCTTAGATGTGTACTTTTTTTGAAAACTGAGTTTTGGGAACTGCTAGGTGGGTGTCTGTCTTTCCCCATTGAGTCTAATCCCCTTAGGCAGAACATTCGTTCTAACTGGATTCTTGAGGAAAAATCTTTGAAATAAGTTCACTGAGAATTTCCATGGAATATTTAAGGGTAGTTTTGCTAAAAAAAAAAAAGAGAAAAACTGGTAAGGAATAAATTAAGTAAATTTTTGATCTACGTGTAAGTATGGCAGGAAATTTTAACAAGCTTTTTTTCCTTTAATTTTCTCCCAGGTGTGTTACATTGAGGGTCACAGGGTAATTAATCTGGCCAATGAGATGTTTGGTTACAATGGCTGGGCACACTCTATCACACAGCAGAATGTGGGTGAGTATGTTTCCTGGCCATGGTGACTTCTTCATTTACCTTACTTGGCATTGTCTAATTTCTGATTTGAATATTTTCTGGGTGAGGATGTAGGGTAGATATATTTGGTTGCCAGCAAGAAGAAAATGGGTAAGGCATAGGGATCAGTGTCTCCTTCTATTGATTTTCTTTCCCACTCCTAGATTTTGTTGACCTTAACAACGGCAAGTTCTACGTGGGAGTCTGTGCATTTGTGAGAGTCCAATTGAAGGTGAGGGTGATGGAATAGACTTGATGCCTCCAAGGATCAGGAGGCTGGTGAAAGAGAATGATCAGGTAGGGAAGTCTCTGGACTGTCGCGCACAGCCAAGCTGGAGAGCTAGGCCCAGAGCTGTGTCTTAGACAGTGTTCCTTAGGATGGTGGTATTCAAACATTCTTACTCATATGCCTCCTAAAAGAATTTTGAAAAATTCTGTTCTCTGCACATTTTTAAGTTGACATTTAAAACTGTTCACCATAAATATAAATAGTCACAAGAGTTTGTTTTTAGGCATATTATAAAATTTAATGTTCTGAAATAAATGTGTTATATCTTTTTAAACGTACCAAATGATTCTAAATATCATAAAGGATTAAATACTGTCATCCATAAAAAAAAATACATGAGCAAGCTATTTTTTTTTAAGCTATTATTTAATCATAAGAAATTTTACATTGTTTCTTCTTGCATTCATATTTACACTCTATTTCTCCACTGGCTTTCATCCTAATGTATATTTATCATTGAAATTTTTTATTAATAACCTTCTCATACTTCTCTGCCTCCGTGTGTGTGTGTATATGTGTGTGTGTATAAAATTAAAAATTTTGGGTAAATTTCCAGTGACCTTAAGGCTCTAAATAATAAAAAATTTCTTTTGGATTGAGTTAGTGTTATGGGTATCATTAATTCATAATTGATCAGTCAATTGTGTTTATGTGGAAGACAACATAGCTAAATTAAAATTTTTATGTTTAATAAAAATAAATTTTATGGAAAATGCGTTTCTTAATGAGATGGATGAAGCTGTTTTTTTTCAGTTGGTTTATATATCCATAGTTTAATATTACTTATTCCTAGACAGATCATTCAGCATTAATTCTATTCAGACTTTTTAATTTTATAAATAGTACTAAAAACCTTATTCACATAAATAAACTAGAATGGTTAGAGTTTTTTTATAGTATCATTCATTTCTCTGAATGCTTTCTGAGTTATATTTCAAAAATCATAGAGTACTATAATAAAAAATTATATTCAGTTCTCTATAAGCTAACAGCTTGATCAGATCCACCTTCACTGTTGGTGAAAACCAAGAAATGGATACTACCTGACTTCAAAAGAATTTGCTGTACCATCATTAGTGTCTGTTAAATAAAATATTTCAAATTTTCCTTTTGTTTGGAGTGCCAGAGGTTTTTATACCTTTGGGCAATGCACTTTCGTGAGATTTGGGGTGGATTGGATATGTGCGTTTTTTACATAAAAGAGGAAGTGGGAAAGGAGAATAGTCTTGACACTTTGACCACAAGCACATTTCCAGGCAGATCAGATGTAGGAAATAATACTAGGAATTGATTCTCTTAAACTCCCTGTGCCCATGTGCCCTTTAGCAGACCCCTGGGTTATATGTACCCACTTTGAATACAGCTGCTTGAGGAAAAGAAGAGCTGTGGAACCAGAGACACAGCTGCAACTTTTCACATTAGATTTGAACTCCTTTTCTACCCCCAGGATGGTTCATATCATGAAGATGTGGGCTATGGTGTTAGTGAGGGTCTCAAGTCAAAAGCCTTGTCTTTGGAGAAGGCAAGGAAGGAGGCAGTGACAGATGGACTGAAGCGAGCACTGAGGTAAGCAGAAAGGGTTGGAGTCTAACCTGCTTCATTTCAGTGCTTGTTTCAAAGCAGTTTTGGTTTTTCTTGAATAGGTAATAAAGTCACATATTCAAAAATCAAAATAACATAAGTCTCACTTCCATCTTTGTCCCTGTCTGCCCTGTTTTCCTACTCTCTTGTATTTTCCCAATGCTTCTTTGTGCTTATGTCTCCCATTTTTGGGAATAAGTGGTAGAATACTATATTCTCTTTTCTTTGCCCCTCCACTCAGTAATATTTCTTGAACACCTTCCACATGAGTACATAGATAGCTTCCTCATTCTCGTTAATGCACGTAAATACTTCACTGCGTATATAAAACATAGAGCAGGGTTTTTAACCTTTCTTGGGGTCATAAATACCTTTGAGAATTGAAGGGAATTGAATCACCAGAAAAATACATGTATAAACATGCACTAAAAATTTGCACTACCATAGCCTGTGGGGGCGTGTGTGTGTCCCATGTAAAGAACTTTAATCGTGGAGGATTGTGCCCCTAAGAATGTGTTATCCACTCCTAGTGGGGAGTTGGAGCAGTGCTTGGGAAAAAAATCTCTGCTCTGGAATTCGCACTCCATGTCAGGAGGTAGTGAATGGGGTTTTGGAACATTTTTTTCATCTTTTTATACTCATCGCCTCTCCACGAGGATAGTGATTTGAGACTGTTATGCTCACTCTTCTATTCTCACAACCTAATACAGTGCATGCATGGCAGATGCTCACTAAACAGTTTCGAATACATTTCCTCTGCTGCGGTTGACAAGCAACTTGCACAAAGTTGTAACCTGTTCTTTGATATTTACATGTAACAGTTCTCAACCCTGTTTCTCTTGTTTTGCCTTACCCTTAGAAGTTTTGGGAATGCGCTTGGAAATTGTATTCTGGACAAAGACTACCTGAGGTCACTAAGTAAGCTTCCACGACAGGTATGTTAGAAATAGATGAAAGAATGCATTAAAGATATGACTAATTCCCTTGTGTCATGGGTTGAGTATTTAGGGATGAGAGAAGTAAAAACTGAGCTATTTAGATGGTCTGGATTACATATTTTAGACTTCTTCAACTATCAGAGCTAGGAGGAACTAATCACCTTATTTTACAGATGAAGAAATTGAAGCCTAGAGAAATTGTTACTTGTCTCTTATACAGAGAGGACTGTGGTTGGGATGGTCGGTAGACCTCAAAAGGAGCACATAGCCCTCTACAGCACCACTGTCATTTCTTAGAAACATTCAAAACCTTTCTTTCCTCTTCAACTTTCTTGCTTTTCTTTAGCTCTGGCATCTTCAGGTTTAGATCTCTCTTGTTTTTGCCAATGCCTATCTCATGATCTGAGCACTTGCCTTTGGAGAACGGGGTCTGGAGTTTAGCAGCCCTCGAGTCACACTTGACCTGGGCTTATTTGGGCCCTGGAGTGTTCCTGTTGCCTGCTTCTTCTGTGGCATTCTCTGAGGTCCCTGCAGCATTGCCACTCAATGCAGCATTCCCTCTCTTATAGTTGAGGGTTCTTTTTCTTGTGGAGCCCCTAATAGATGCATGCGTCAAGTGGCGTCTGTTGAAATTCCATTTATATCCTTTTATAAAATGCTTTTTTATACATTGTTTGATTCAGTTTGCTAATATTTTGTTAAGGATTTTTACATCTATGTTTACAAGGGATATTAGTCACAGTTTTTTATATTTTATGGTAAAAAACACATGACATAAAATTTACCATTTTAACCATTTTTAAGTGTACAGTTCAGTAGTGAAATAGAGCTTTAGAAATTTATCTTATAATACTGCAACTCTACACCCATAAAACAACTTCCCTTTCCTCCCTTCTTCTAGCCCCTGGTAACCATTCTATTTTCTTTTCCTATGATTTGACTACTTTAGATGCCTCATATAACTGGAATCATATAGTTTTCGTCCTTTTGTGACTGGCTTATTTCATTTAGTATAGCGACCTCAAGATTCATCTATATTTTAGCATGTGTCAGAATTTTCTTTTTAAGGCTGAATAATATTCTGTTGTATGTATATAGAAGCATATTTTTGGATTGCCTCTATCTCTTGGCTGTTGTGAATAGTACTGTCATGAACATGGGTGTGCAAGTACCTCTTCAAGATCCTGCTTTCAGTGTTTTGGATATATATCCAGAAGTGGGGTTGCTAGATCATATGGTAGTTATATTTTTTATTTTTTGAGGCACTTCCATACTATTTTCTATAATGGCAATACCGTTTTACAGTTCAACCAATAACGCACAAGGGCTCTGATTTCTCCATATCCTCACCAACACATTATTTTCTATTTATTTTGATAGTAGCCTTCCTAATGGGTGTGAGGTGATATTGTACTTTTGATTTGCATTTATCTGATTAGTAATGTGGAACATCTTTTCATAGGCTTGTTGGCCATTTGTATATCATCTTTGGAGAAATGTCTATTTAAGTCCCTTACTCATTTTTAATTGGGCTATTTGATTTTTTGTTGTTGAGTTGTAGAAGTTCTTTATATATTGTGGATATTAACCCCTTATCAGAGATACAATTGCAATTTTTTTTTTTCTATTCCATAGGTTGCCTTTTAAGTTTTTATGTTTGATATAGTCCCATTTGTATATTTTTGCTTTTGTTGCCTTTTTTTTTTTGGTGTCATATACAAGAAATCATTGCCAAATTTAATGTCCTAAAGTTTTCCCACTATGTTTTCTTTTATGAGTTTTAGAGTTTGGGGTCTTAAGTTTAGGTCTTTAATCTGTCTTGAATTCATTTTTGTATGTGATGTAAGATACAGGTCTAACTTCATTCTTTTACATGTGGATTTCCATTTTACCCAGCATCATTTCTTAAAGAGACTCTCCTTCCCCTATTGAATGGTCTTGGCATATTTGTTGAAGGTTATTTTATCATAATATACAAGGGTTTATATCTGGGCTCCCTATTGTATTCCATTTGTTTATATGTCTGTCTTTGTGTCAATACCATACCATTATTGTAGCTTTGTAATATGTTTTAAAATGAAGTGGTGTGAGTCCAACTTTGTTCCTCTTTTTCAAAATTATTTTTGCTATTTCAGGTTCCTTGAGATTCCATATGAATTTTAGTATTAATTTTTTTATATATGCAAAAAATACCATTGGAGTGTTGAATCTGTATATCACTTTGGTAGTATGGACATCTCAACAATATTAAGTCTCTTAATTTATGAATGTGGATGTCTTTCCATTTATTTGTGTCTTTAATTTCTTTGAGCAATGTTTTGTAGTTTTCAGTATACAAGTCTTTCACCTTCTTGGTTAGGTTTATTCTTTTTGATGCTATTGTAAATAGAATTGTTTCTTAGTTTTCTTTTCAGATTGTTCATTATTAGTGTATAAGGCATAACTGATTTTTGTATGTTGATTTTCTTTCTTATAACTTTGTAGAACTTTTTAGTTCTTACAACTCTTTTTGTTTGTTTGTTTTTGTGGAGTCTTTAGGGTTTTCTGCATATAAGAAGATCATATCATCTGTGACCAGAGATAATTTTACTTCTTTTCCAATCTGGATTCCTTTATTTCTTTTTGTTGCCTAATTGCTCTGGCTAGAACTTTCCAATATGTCAAATAGAAGTAATGAAAGTGGGCACCTTTGCCTTCTTCCTGATTTTATAGGAAAAAGCTTTCAGTCTTTCACCTGTGAGTATGATGTTAGCTGTAGGCTTTTCATATATGGCTTTTATTATGTTACAGTAGTTTCCTTCTATTCATAGTTTGTCGAATGTTTTTACCATGAAAAAGTATTGGATATTGGCAAATGCTTTTTCTCTATCAATCAAAATGAACATGTGGTTTTGTCCTTCTTTCTGTTAATATGGTGTATTACATTGATTTGTGGATGTTGAATCATCCTTGCATCCTAGGAACAAATTGCACTTGGTCATGGTGTATAATCTTTTTAATGTGCTGGTGAATTCAGTGTGCTAGTGTTTTGTTGAGGATTTTTGCAGCAGTATTCATCAGAGAATATTGGTTTATAGTTTTCTAGTCCCCCCTTATCTACAGAAGATAAGTTCCAAGACCCCAGGTGGATGCCTGAAACTGTGGATAGTATTGATTATAAAGTAGGCACAGTAGGAGATTAACAATAATATATAATAATAAAATAGGACAGTCATAACAATATACTGTAATAAAAGTTATGTGAATGTGGTCTCTCTGTCTCTCAAAATATCTTATTGTACTGTGCTCACCCTTCTTGTGATGATGCGAGGTGATAAAATGCCTTATTAAGTCAAGTTGAGAACTTTCATCTTTTAACTTAAAGGGAGCACAGTATGACTTCTCTTTGGCATATTCAAATTGCCAGTATCATAACTCTTGCAATTTGGGGCATTAACTAAAATCAGGGTTATTTGAATACAATCACCATGATACCACAACAGTCAATCTGATAACTGAGACAGCTACTAAGTGACTAAATGGTGGGTAGAATATATAGTGCGGATTTGCTGGACAAAGGGATAATTCAGGTCTCAAATGGGATGCAGTGGGACAGTGTGAGATTCAGTCACACTATTCACACTAAACAACTTATAAGTTGTTTATTTCTGGAACTTTTCATTTAATATTTTTAGACTGCAGTTGACTGTGGGTAACTGAAACTGTGGAAAGCGAAACTGCAGATAAGGCAGAGGTGGGGAGAACTACTGTAGTCTTTTTTTTTTCTTGTAGTATCTTTGTCTGGCTTTGGTTTCAGAGTAATGCTGGCCTCACAGTATGAGCTTGTATATGTTCTTTCCTCTTGAGTTTTTTTGGAAGACTGAGGAGTATCGTTGTTAAATCTTTAATGTTTGATAGAATTCTCTAGTGAAGCCATCTAGTCCTGGGCTTTTTTTGTTGTTGGTAGGTTTTTAACTACTGATTCAATATCTTTACTATTTACCAGTCTCTTCTTGATTCAGTCTTGGTAGGTTGTATTTCTAGGAATTTCTCTGTTTCTTCTAGGTTATCTAATTTGTTGGTGTACAATTGTTCATAGCAGTCTCATAATTTTTTCTACTTCTGTAGCATCAGTTGTCCTTTCATTTCCGATTTTAATTAAATAATTAAAGTCTTTTCTTAGTTAATCCACCTAAGGATTTGTCAATTTTGTTGATCTTTTCAAAATAACTCTTTGTTTTGTTGTTTTCTGTTTTTTTTTTCCTCCTCTATTTCCTGTATCTCCTCTAAGCTTTATTTCCTTTCTTCTGCTAGCTTGAGTCAGCCATAAACACCTGTTAGCAGTGCTTTTGCTGTATACCGTAAGTTCTGGTAAGTTTTGTTTTCATTTTCATTTGTCTCAAGATATTTCTAATTTCCCTTGTGACTTATTCTTTGATCCATTGTTTGTTTAAGAGTGTGCTGTTTTATTCCCACCTATTTGCAGATTTGTCATTTTTCTGCTATTGGTTTCTAGTCTCATTTCATTGTGATTGGTAAAGATACTTTGTATGATTTCTGTCTTCTTCAATTTGTTAAGACTTGTTTTGTAGCCTAACATATGGTCTATCCCAAAGAATGTTCTGTGTGTACTTTAGAAGAATGTATATTCTGCTGTTGTTGGATGGAGTATTCTGTATATGTTAGGTCCATTTTTTTGCTCTTATAGTGTTTAAATCCTCTATTTCCTTATCGATCTTCTGTCTGGTTGTTCTGCCCATTATTGAAAGTAGGACATTGAAGTCTCCTACTATTATTGTGTTGCTATGTATTTCTGTTTTCCACTGTCAAATTTTTCTTTATAAATTTAGGAGCTCTGATATTTGGTACATAAATATTTACAATTATTATATCTTCTTGGTGAATTGACTCATTTGTCATTATATAATGTTCTTTGTCTCTTGTAACAGTTTTTAATTTCAAGTGTCTTTTGTCTGATAATAGTATACCCTACCCTGCTCTCTTTTGGTTTTTATTTA